GTGTCAATTTGTTCTCCAAAGCCCCCGGACAAGAAGCAACGGATGGAAACTATTCAAGGAGAGAAGCAACCTAGAACGAAGGAAAAATTTCTTGTCCATGAGAACACTTCACCAGTGGAACGGCTTGCCACCAGAAATTGTGGGTGCTTCCTCATTGGAGGTTTTTTAGGAAGAGATTGGACAAACATTTGTCTGAAATGGTCTAGGCCAGGGGTAGGCAACCTTGGCTCTTTTATGACTGGTGGACTTCAACTCCCAGAATTCCTGAGCCAGCCGTGCTGAGGGGAAAGGGAGAGGTTTCCAAGCTGAGCCAGGTTGGCTCAGGAATTCTGGGAGTTGAAGTCCACCAGTCATAAAGTGGCCTAGGGCTAGGGCAAACCGTGGCTCTTTTATGACTGGTGGACTTCAACTCCCAGAATTCCTGAGCCAGCATGGCTCAGCTTGGAAACCTCTCCCTTTCCCCTCAGCATGGCTGGCTCAGGAATTCTGGGAGTTGAAGTCCACGAGTCATGAGGGGGCCATAGTTCCCCCATGCTGGCTCAGGAATTCTGGGAGTTGAAGTCCACAAGCCATGAAGGGAGGCATCGTTCCCCCATGCTGGCTCAGGAATTCTGGGAGTTGAAGTCCACAAGTCATGAAGGGGCCAAGGTTGCCTACCCCTGGTATAGGGTCTCCTATGTGAGCAGGGGGTTGGACTAGAAGACCTCCAAGGTCCCTTCTAAGTCTGTTATTCTATTTATTACTCTAACTGGGTGGTTCTACAAATTCCAAACAAGCCAGCACAGGAGAAGACGGCTCTGTGAGCTTTGAAAACATCACGGGGGGGCCACCATCTTGACACCTCTTGACCTCCAGGTACCCTTGGAAGGCAGCTATGGGAAGGCAGTTCGGAAAGGGACCTCAGAGGTCCTCTAGTCCAACCCCCTGATGGAGCAAGGCACCCTATACTATAGCATCCCAATCAAGTGGCTGTCCAATCTCTCCTTAAAAGCCTCCAGTGTTGGAGCGCCTACAGCTTCTGGAGGCAGGTAGTTCCGCTGGCTAATTGTTCTCGCCGTTCACAGGGGGGGGGCTCCCCCACTTTCAGGTGCAGCGGTACCTTTCCCAGCCTGTAATCGGAGAGGGATCTGGAGGCAATCCAGCCCTTTGGCACTTACAAAAGACGGTCAGGCTGACGGACGGGGAGATGCTGAGGCTGCTCTCCTGGGCAGTCTGGGCTTTGCAGTAATAGGCTCCGGCGTCCAGGCGGGTGACGGGCAGGAAGGCCAGGGTGCCCTCGGCCTCCCCTTGGAGGTGTTTGCTGTTCCGGTACCAGGAGAAGCTGGCCTCCTCCGGGAGGCTTCCCATCACGTCACAGGTGAGGCTGACCTGGTCCCCTTCGACCACCTCTGGGGAGGGCGTGATCAGGATCCGGGCCGCTGCATCCCAGGAGGGAGGGGATAATAGGAAAATGGAAGGACATATTAATAACTGGAGGAAAGGCACGCTGGCCCTTAGAAAGAAGAGAGGGGAGAGGGAGGGGGAAGGAAAGGGGAGGGGAGGAAGTAAATAACCATAAGCGAAGGGGAAATTATCGACATCTATCTGTCTGTCTGTCTGTCTGTCTATCTATCTATCTATCTATCTATCTATCTATCTATCTATCTATCTATCTATCTATCTATCTATCTATCTATCTATCTATCTATCCATCTATCTATCATCCATCCATCCATCCATCCATGTCTGTCTTGTCTCTTGTCTGTCTTGTCTTGTCTTGTCCGTCCGTCCGTCCGTCCGTCCGTCCATCCATCCATCCATCCATCCATCCATCCATCTATCTATCTATCTATCTATCTATCTATCTCTCCATCTATCTATTATCCATCCATCCATGTCTGTCTTGTCTATTGTCTGTCTTGTCTGTCCGTCCGTCCGTCCGTCCGTCCGTCCGTCCGTCCATCCATCCATCCATCCATCTATCTATCTATCTATCTATCTATCTATCTATCTATCTATCTATCTATCTATCTATCTATCTATCTATCTATCTCTCCATCTATCTCTCCATCTATCTATTATCCATCCATCCATGTCTGTCTTGTCTATTGTCTGTCTTGTCCGTCCGTCCGTCCGTCCGTCCGTCTATCTATCTATCTATCTATCTATCTATCTATCTATCTATCTATCTATCTATCTATATCTATCTATCTATCTATCTATCTATCTATCTATCTATCTATCTATCTATCTATCTATCTATCTATCATCCATCCATGTCTGTCTTGTCTCTTGTCTGTCTTGTCTTGTCTTGTCTTGTCTGTCCATCGATCCATCGATCCGTCCGTCCGTCCATCCATCCATCCATCCATCCATCCATCCATCCATCCATCCATCCATCCATCCACCTACCTACCTACCTACCTACCTACCTACCTACCTACCTACCTACCTACCTATCTTCTGTCTACTCTCTCTCTCGCACTACTATTAAATTGTAAAGACTGTTCAAATACCATAATACAGGCAGTCCTTGACTTACAACTTCAATTGAGCCCAAAATTTCAGCCGCTAAGCGAGACGGCCATTAAGTGAACGTTGCCCCATTTTGCAATCTTTCTTGCCACTTGTCATTAAGCAAATCCCACTTCCTGGGTCAGTAGGTGGCCAAAGGGGATGATCGCGTGGCCTCCCCCGGGACACACGGCGACCGTCATAACTACGAGCCCGTGGCCCAGCGTCCGAACTTCGATCTCGTGACCCCATGGGGATGCCACCACGCTCTTAAGAGTGGAAAGCGACCCTACGTCCCTTTTTTTCAGCGCCGTTGTAACTTTGAACGGTCACTAAACGAACGGTTGTTAAGTTGAGGACTCGCTGTAGAGACGTGTGAATTTGGGGTGAGGGTCAGTTTCCCCCCCCCTCTCCCCCGAGGCTAACAAATGCAACCCTCACTTTGCACCCGAAAGTAGAGCCGTCGGGAGGCGGATCCGTGGGCGTTGGTGGCCGTCACGTTGTAGCTCCCTTCGTCTTCCGGCACCACCCCGGTCATCTCCACGTGCAGGGTGCCGGGCCCGGTTGTGACGCTGACCCGACGGGAGGCCGGCTCATCCTTCTCGCCGCTGGTGGCCAAGACGGCGTCTCCTTTGTACAGGACCCACGTGGCGGGAGGATGGCTGTCCACCGAACACTGGAAGATGGCCACGGTTCCCCTCTCGGTCTCCGTGAAAACCGACACGTGGAGGTTCCTCGGCGCATCTGAAAGCAGAGACCGCCCTTAATTATGGGGGCACGACGTCCACATCGGGTGGGAAACGTCAAAAAAGACGTGGAGAGTTTGGAAAAAGTGCAGAGAAGAGCAACTAAGAGGATCCAAGGCCTGGAGACTAAAATATACGAAGAACGGCTGCGGGACTTGGGTTTGGCTAGTCTAGAGAAAAGGAGAAATAGGGGAGACATGATAGCAGCGTTCCGGTATTTGAGGGGCTGCCACAGAAAAAAGGGGGTCACGTTATTCTCCAAAACACCAGAGGGCAGGACAAGAAACAATGGTTGGAAACTGAACAAAGAGAGAAGCAACCTGGAATTAAGGAGAAACTTCCTGAGGATAATCAACCAGTGGAACAGAAGTTTCCTTCAGAAGTTGTGGGTGCTTCATCACTGGAGGTTGTTAAGAAGAGACTGGACAGCCATTTGTCTGAAATGGTCTAGGCCAGGGGCGGGCAACCTTGGCTCTTTTATGACTCCTGGACTTCAACTCCCAGAATTCCTGAGCCAGCCATGCTGAGGGGAAAGGGAGAGGTTTCCAAGCTGAGCCAGGCTGGCTGAGGAATTCTGGGAGTTGAAGTCCACGAGTCATGAAGGGGCCGTAGTTCCCCCATGCTGGCTGAGGAATTCTGGGAGTTGAAGTCCACCAGTCATAAAAGAGCCAAGGTTGCCTACCCCTGGACTAGGGTCTCCTGCTTGAGCGGGGGGCTGGACTAGAAGACCTCCAAGGTCCCTTCCAACTCTGCTATTCTATTACTCTAATAATTCTATTATTCTCTAATAATAATGTGCACCAGTCATGTGCACCGGATATTTCTGGAAATAAAGGAGCTTATTGTATCGAGTTTTGATAAAAACTTTTTTTCCGTGGGGTTGTAACTTTGAACGGTCACTAAACAGAGCGAGTCGGGAAGGCCGGGGGCTCTTACACAGCACAGAGAGGGAGGCCGAGCTGGACGTCTTGCTGACTCCGTGATAGTCCACTCGGCACTTATACGCTCCGGCGTCCTCCAGGGCCACGTGTTCGAGGACCAGGGAATCCCCGGAGGCCCCCGGGAGATGGAGGCCCCCCTTGAACCAGGAGTAGTTAGCCGAGGCTGAGAGGTTGCCGCTGAGGGTGCAGGAGAGGCGGACGGCGTGGCCTTCGTGGACCTCCGGAGAGGGGCTGATGGTGATGCTGGCGGCTGAAGGTTGGTGGGATGGAAGAAGAAGGGAAGGGAAGAAGGAGAACGGAAGAAGCGTCACTTGCGGGGCCAAACCATCGAACCTTCTAAAGCAGCCGTGTCTTTGCCATTCGGCAACCGATCCCCATGCGGGATCCTGGTAAAAGACATCAACTTTTTCCCTCATCCGGTAGCAGGTGGGGCCCTTGGTGCTCTCTGAGCTGGGTGGTTTNTAGCTAAATCTATATGTGCAAAGCAGTTTTTTCTATCATGTCCGGATTTATCCGGACAGGCTCTGTGGTTGGCGTTTCTGAGCAGTTTGCAACAGCAGGTGTGGGTTTACAGGATGTATTTGGTTGGGACAGGATATAACACATACAATGCAGCTACATTTACTTAGCTTTTGTTGCTAACTAGCTTTGTGCATTTTGACGCATAGCCTGACATGGTGGTTTTCTTTGCCCTACTTGTTGCGTAGCCGTTGCTTCTGTCAGAGGATGTGGTTGTCCTACTTATTGTCCTAGGCCTCTAGTACGCAAGTTGGCCACTGGCCTAGTCTTACTATAGAAGCCTGAACCATAAAAATCCCAACAAAGGACTGTGGGGGCTATGCTGGCTGGGGAATTCTGGGAGTTGAAGTCCCTCCATCTTCAAGCTGCTAAGCTTGAGCAACATTGCTCGAACTGGCTACGATTTAGCGTACTTGTCATTATTCTTATTTTTTTACCCATTATTTTTTTCATCCTTTAAACCCCTCCCCCTCCCAATTCTACCCAATTTCCCACTCATGTTTGCCCGCCAGCAGAGTGGGGAAGAAGACCCTCTTCCCATCCACCTACTTTCTGTGGTGAACTCCATGGTGGACATGGCGTCCCCGTAGCGGTTTTGAGCCGAGCACACGTATTCTCCTTCGTCGTCCCACCTCAAGACCTGGATGGTCACCTTCAGGGTGTTATGCGAGGAGGTCACCTGGATCCTTGGGTCCGTCACCAACTGGAGAAGATCGGTGGAGCCCACAAGCGTGTTGCCCTTGTACAGAGCTATCTCCGAAGGCGGGTCGCTGTCCACTGTGCACTGGATGATGCCCAGATGTCCTCCTTGGGTCTCCAGGAACGAGGTCATCACGGGCAACCTTGGGGAATCTTTGGAGGGGGGGGCACAAAGGAAGAGATGTTGGCGTGGTTGCAAGGAGAGCGATCGGTCTGAACGTTCTCCGCAGGCCCTCTGTTTTGTGAGTCTGAGGCTACACCAAGGCCTTGGTCTCCTTTCGCCTGGAGGAGAGGAGACCACCCAGCAGGTTCTCCTCTGCCTCCTTCCCACTAGTCTATTGTCCCCACCTCCCACCTCCCTAAGTGTTGGAGTGCCCCATTCAACCCCCATCCCAATTAGCAGCATGGCAACCAATGCACTGGGAGATGAATTTGCAAAGCCCTGTTAGATGCCTCCATCCAGGACAGTGATGGCGAACCTTTTAGAGACCGAGTGCCCAAACTGCAACCCAAAACCCACTTATTTATCGCCGGGTGCCAGGTGGGCATGGCCCACTGAGTGGGCATGGCTGTGGTGATCATGGTAGACTGGGTGGGTGTGGCCAAGGTGGGCATGGTCACCTCAATGTTGCTCGTGGGGAGGGACACCTGTGGGGGCCGGGCAGGGTTGGGGGAGATCCAGGGGGTCTCTGGCAGGTGGGGTAGTGGGTAGGAGGCTCGTCCTGCGGGGTGAGGCGAGGCAGGGTGGGGGTGCCATTATCTCAGGGCAAAGCAAGGCAGGGGCAGGGGCGGCTGCTGCCTGACACCATCGGCCCCCGCACACAGAGGCCAGCGAGCACATGGGGGCCGACGGTGTCCGTCAGCAGCCACAGCCTGCCGGCCCCTCGACTGGCGCACTCTGGGGCTCCGCAGCCCGCCGCCAGCAGTTCAGAGAAGCACCCACAGAGAGGGCTCTGAGTGGCGCCTCCGGCACGCGTGCCATAGGTTCGCCACCACTGTTCTAGGACATGCCCTGCGTGGAAGGAGAATCAGAATTTTTCCAGCACAGGTAGAGGACTCCAGGTTACATCTATGGAGCGTCTCCGTCCTCCAGATCAGGATTGTCCCAAAGGTGCTTTTTCCCCGACTTTCTTTTTAACTCTTTGAAGATGTTTGGAGACGTTTGAGGACTGTGTTATAGCCTGAAGATAGATGGTGTCTTTGCAAGAGGCCACCGAGGTCCAAACTGAACAACGTCCTCTATCTCCCGTCTACCACACAGTCCTTTCAGCGGTTCCAAGAAGGCTCCACACCCTTTTGCACCACTCAGGTAACCCCGAGGACACAGGTCAACCTCAACAGTGGCCTCAACGACTCTCCAAAAGAAGGCAAAGGACCAGCTGTCTGCAAGGAGTATAAATCCTTCCCTTCCTCCACCATCCAGTCAGAGCTGAAGAAGCTTCTGGGATGGGAAGCGAAACGTCTTCAAAGAAGAAACAAAGAAAGTCCAGTTGCCTCCTGAAAAAGCAACTTTGGGACAACCAGGATCTGGATGATGGAGAAGCTCCATCGACTTTTAGCCATGCACTTCGGGGATGAACACCCTTCAAAGGGTGAGGGAGCATGAACGGATTTCCAGAAAATGTTGCAGACTACAGGAACCATTTGCACTTCAGTTTGAGAGGCAGACCACCATAGACTCATCCCCATCATCCTGCGCCCGTCTTCAATGGTGAAGGGACCCAGGGCAGTAAAACATCCTGCAGCCAAGAAGGCTCCCCACCCATTTGCACCGCTCAGGTGACCCTGAGGACACAGATAAACCTCCAGGTGGCCTCAGCGATTCTCAGAGAGAGTACTAATGAGCAGATGACTGCAAGGAGTATAAATCCTTCCGTTCCCCACCAGTCAGAGCCAAAGAAGCCTCTGGGACGAGAAGTGAAACATCTTCCAAGAGAAACGAGCAGGTCCAGTGGCCTCCTGAAAAAGCACCCCCCCAGGTTTGGCTACTCACAGAGTACGCGCAGAGCGATGGGCGGTGAGATGTGGCTCCCTTTCTTGTTCTCGGCCACGCAGTGGAACGAGCCAGCGTCTCCGCTGACCACCGCTGAGAGGACCAGGGTGTCCTTCTGGCCTTGCTGTAGCCACTTGGCGTTCTTGTACCAAACATACGTGGTGGGGTCTTCTTCTTCTTCTTCTTCGCTCCCCACGGTGGTGAGACAGGTCAGGGCGACGCGCTGGCCTTCGACCAGCTGGTCGGAGGGGCTGGCCACCACCCTGGCCGCTGTAAGCAGAGGAGGGAGGAGGAGAAGACCACGGCTGTCAGGCCTACAAGGTGGATCAGCTCAACCGGCCTCCAGAAGCGGTGAAGGCTCCAACACTGGAGGCTTTTAAGAAGAGACTGGACGGCCATTTGTCTGAAATGGTATAGGGTTTCCTGCCTGAGCAGGGGGTTGGACTAGATGATCTCCGAGGTCCCTTCTGAGTCTGTTATTCTTTTTTTTTCCTTCCTTCCTTCCTTCCTTCCTTCCTTCCTTCCTTCCTTCCTTCCTTCCTTCTCCAACACTGGAAGTTTTTAAGAAGAGATTGGGCAGCCACTTGTCTGAAATGGTCAAGGGTCTCCTGCTCGAGAAGGGGGCTGGACTAGATGACCTCCAAGGTCCCTTCCAGCTCTATTGTATTCTGTTCTGTTCTGTTAATTCTAACTCACCTTGTATGGGGGCGGGGACGGGAGTAACGGAAGGGAGTCGCCGGCCGTGGGCCCTTGATGGAGGTCCGGGCCTCCCCTTCCAAGGGGCTCTCCTCCGGCCCTCCTCCATCTTCTCTTCCGCGGTCCCCTTCTTCTCACCCTAAAGAGGCTCGGGGTACCCGCTGCAACCCCCCACCTCCCCCCCACTTACTCACTCTGGCTCCGGAAGAAGCTGGAGCTGCTGGCGTTCCCGTACTGGTTGCTGGCCAGGCACTGATACTCGCCCTCGTCCTCCAGGGTGACCCTCTGGATCTCCATCTTCAGGGAGTTGCGGGTGGCTGCGATGCGGATCCGCTGGCTGGGCGCCGAGTGCGAGCTGGTGGTGGCCAGGAGGCGCCCGTCCCGGAAGAGGCTCAGGGTGGCCTGGGGGTTGCTGTCCACCGTGCAGTGGACGATGGCCAGCTGGCCCCTCTGCCTCTCCTGGAACAAGGCCAGGGAGGGCGGCCGCGGGGGATCTGCCGGAGGCAAAAGGGGGTGAGGCTGGATGGCGGGGGCCCGGATCCGCCTCGCAAAGGGGGCCTTCCTGGAACGCAGGGCGGTGCATCATGGTTTCTGGGGTCCCCGGGGGACAGGAAAAGCCAGGGAGCTGGGTCTAAGGTTGTGTTTCTCCACTTTGGCAGCTTTCAGATGGGTGGACTTCAATTCCCAGAATTCCTCGGTCCAGCCATCTTAAAGCATGCTGGCTGGGGAATTCTGGGAGTTGAAGTCCATACATCTTAAACATGCTGGCTGGGGGATTCTGGGAGTGGAAGTCCACCCATCTTAAACATGCTGACTGGGAATTCTGGGAGTTGAAGTCCACCCATTTTAAAACATGCTGGCTGGGCAATTCTGAGAGTTGAAGTCCTTATATCTTAAACATGCTAGCTGGGGAATTCTGGGAGTTGAAGCCCATACATATTAAAATGGCTGCCTGAGGAATTCTGGGAGTTGAAGTCCAGTCATCTTAAAGCAGTGGTTCTCAACCTTTTTAATGCCGCGACCCCAACCGATCGTAAGTCGAGGACTAAACCGGTCGTAAGTCGAGGACTAAACCGGTCATAAGTCGAGGACTAAACCGGTCGTAAGTCGAGGACTTTCCCTGCCCGGGAGCGCCGTGCATGCGTGGTTCCGCCCCCTGCGCCGGCCGAGGCGTAGCTGGCAAGCGGCAGAGACGGAGCAGGCTGACCACCAGCTGGCCCAGCCCAAGGGAGGTAAGGCACCCGCCGGAAAAGGGGGAAAAAATGGCGGACAAAAAAAATGGCGGACAGCCTTGCTTGGCGACCCCCATGAAATGGTCAATCGACCCCAAATGGGGTCCCGACCCACAGGTTGAGAACCACTGTCTTAAAGCCTGCTGGCTGGGGAATTCTGGGAGTTGAAGTCCACCCATTCTAAACTTCCCAAGGTTGAGAAACCCGTAGCAGAGGCGTTAATGTTGCCCAGGAGCATAAAACCGTGAGTAACATCCAAGTTTAAAGTCTGTCTGCGTTGATAAATGGCTGCCTGCCTTGTGCATAAATTCTGCAGTAAATGTAATTTAAAACAGACAGCCGTCCATCATTCTGGCGACCAAACTGTGGTTTACATCCTGGGGGCTGCGTAGGGAGTGGGCTTCCTCGTTTTAATGGCTCCTGAAGCATTGCCAATCAGTCTTCCTTCCACCAAACTGCCTGGGGGGGGCAAGATAGGATAGCTTCTCCCACCCCCCAAATAAGCTGGGATCCTGACCCATTTTGGGGGGGGGGCTGCACGAGGGCTGTAAGAATAAACAGATGCTTAAAACTTTTCCTCTCCAATTTATGCTGCTGTTTCCCCCCCCCCCCTTTTTCTGCTTGCAGCAAAACTGCTTCCTATGCAATCCACACATTCTTTTTTTGGATGGCGGCTTCCTCTACGCCCCCATCCTGGTTTAATTAGGCCTGCAACATACCCTGGCTTGGCAGAGGTTTTTTTTTTCTGTTGCTGAGTGAGGCAGCTGCTAATGGAGTTGTGCCCCCGTTTTAGGACTTTGTTTTGCCACAATTGTTAAGTAAAATCTTTCAGTAATCATGATAATAATGATGATAGAGTTGGAAGGGACCTTGGAGGTCTTCTAGTCCAACCCCCTGCTCGGTCGTTAAGCGTATCTGGCTTTGCTTGTCAGAAGGCCGCAAAAGGGGATCACACGACTCCGGGACACTATAGGTAGTCCTCAACTGACGGCCACAATTGAGCCCCAACATTTCCGTCGCTAAGTGAGACATTTGTTAAGTGAGCTTCGCCCCATTTTACGATCTTCCTTGCTACCGTTAAGTGAGTCACCATAGTTGTTAAGTCAGTAACACGGTCGTTAAGCGGATCTGGCTTCCCTCATCGACTTCGCTTGTCAGACAGTCGCCAAAGGGGATCACACGACCCCGGGACACTGAGACCGTCATAAATGTGAGTCACATGACCACGTGGGGATGCTGCGAAGGTTGTAAGTGTGAAAACGGTCGTAAGTCCCTTTTTTTAAAGTGCTGTTGTAACTTTGAACGGTCACTAAACGAATACAGATTGTCCTCAATTTACAACGGTTCATTTAGTGACTGTTACAACGGAACTGAAAACAGCGACTTAGGACTGTTTTTCACACTTACGACCATCGCGGCCTCTCTGTGTGGTCACGTGATCAAAACTCAAAGGCTTGACCACCGACTCACATTTATGACGGTCGCAGTGCCTCACTTAACATTGGGCTCAGCTGTGGTCGTAAGCCAAGGACAGCCGGTAATAGGGTTCACATCCTACCAGTGGAGAAGGTCTGGAAATAATCACAATCACAATCACAATCATAACCACAATCATAATCATAATTACAATCACAATAATAATCTCAACCACAGCCACAACACAATCACAACCACAATCATAATCACAATCACAATAATAATCACAACCACAGCCACAACCACAATCACAATAATAATTACAATCACAATAATCACAACCACAGCCACAACCATAACAACCACAATCACAATCATAATCACAATGACAATGACAATCACAATAATAATCACAACCACAGCCACAGCCACAGCCATCACAACCACAATCATAATCACAATAACAATATTCACAACCACAATCACAACCACAATAATAATCAGAGCCACAACCACCACAACCATAACCACCAGCCACAACCACAATCACAATCATCACAATCATAATCATAATTACAATCTAATAATAATCACAATCATAATCACAATGACAATCACAATAATAATCACAGCCACAGCCACAACCACCACAGCCACAATCACAATCACAATCATAATCATAACCACAATCACAATCGCAATCATAATCATATAGCCATAATCATTTAATCATATAATCACAACCACAAGCACAATCATAAACATAATCACAATAATAATCACAGCCACAACAACAACCACAATCACAATAATAATCACAACCACAGCCACAACCACCACCACAATCACAATCACAACCACAATCATAATCACATAACCATAATCATATAGTCATATAACCACAACCACAATCACAGTCGTCTCCTCTAGCAAGAAGCAACCTTGCAGGGCTGGTTTGGGCCAGGCCCGTTTCTGGGGACCCAAGCGCAGGCCAAGGGCCCCGGGGCCCAAACTCACACAGGACGGTCAGGCTGACGGCGGCGGAGGTCTGGCTCCCCTTGTCGTTCTGGACTTTGCAGGCGTAGTAGCCGGTGTCCCCGACGGTCACCTGCTGGAAGGTCAGGATGCGGGCGCTGCCCTCCTTCAGCCACAGCGTGTTCTTGTACCAGCTGTAGAGGATCTCCTGTTGGTCTCCTCCAGGCACCTCGCAGGTCAAGGAGACCATCTCACCTTCTCTGACCCTGGAGGAAGGACTGACCGACAGCACAGCAGCTGGGGAGTTGGAGGGACACCCGGTTGTAAGCCAGCATGGAGCAGAGTTCTGCAAACTCGGCCACGGGAAGACGTGTGGACTTCAACTCCCAGAATCCCCCAGCCAGCATGCGCTGGCTGGGGGATTCTGGGAGTTGAAGTCCACACGTCTTCCCGTGGCCGAGTTTGAAGAACCTTGCTGTGTAGTCCAACAGACTTTGATCACACCCAACCAGACAAACTGGCCACAACCTAAATTAGCATCCTGGTCTCTTTTCCCCTGGGAACCACCATCCTGAAAGGGAGCAGGGAGGGGAGGCCCTACCACTTCAGTTCCCATCATCCCCTGTAGGAATAGAGACAAAATTGATGAAACAGGGACTTGGTGTTATGCTTGCAATATATGGAAGTTGAAGTCCAGCCCTCTTAAAGCATGCTGGCTGGGGGATTCTGGGAGCTGACGTCCACCCCTCTTAAAGCATGTTTGCTGGGGCATTCTGGGAATTGAAGTCCATCCCCATAAAACATGCTGACTGGGGGATTCTGGGAGTTGAAGCCCACCCTTCTTAAAACATGCTGGCTGGAGAATTCTGGGTGTTGAAGTCCACCCATCTTAAAGCATGCTTGCTGGGGCATTCTGGGAATTGAAGTGCATCCCCTTAAAACATGCTGGCTGGGGGATTCTGGGAGTTGAAGTCCAACTGTCTTAAACATGCTGGCTGGGGGATTCTGGGAGTGGAACTCCATCCCTCTTAAAGCATGCTGGCTGGAGGATTCTGGGAGTGGAAGTCCAGCCATCTTAAAGCATGCTGGCTGGGGGATTCTGGGAATTGAAGTCCACCCCTCTTAAAGCATGTTTGCTGGGGCATTCTGGGAGTTGAAGTCCAACTGTCTTAAACATGCTGGCTGGGGGATTATGCGAGTGGAAGTCCATCCCTCTTAAAGCATGCTGGCTGGGGAATTCTGGGAGTTGAAGTCCACCCTTCTTAAAGCATGCTGGCTGGGGGATTCTGGGAGTTGATCCATACATCTTAAACATGCTGGCTGGGGAATTCTGGGAGTCCCCAGGTCTTAAAGTTGCCAAGTTTGAGACCCCTGGCCCAGAGGCTACTCTTTAAGCTTATATGGGCGGCATGTAAGTTTTAAGGAATAAATAACATTTTAAAAAGGAACGGAGTGCCTGAACCAGTCCGGTCCTCCTTCCTATGGCCTGCTGAGATGCAGTTGTGGCTACTCACAGAAAATGAGGAGCGGGACCCCTTCGGCCACCCCGGTGCCCAGCGCGTTCTCGGCCTCACAATTGTAGAGTCCGTAATCCTTGAGGGACACAGGCTGGATGTTCTTCACCTGCTCGGTCCCGCAGGCAGAGCCGTCCTTGAACCACCTGAAGGCCGAGGGCTCCGGGTAGCTGGCGCTGACGTTGCAAACCAGAGACACGGCGTCGCCCACTCGGATGTTCTGGTTGGGGGGGCGGAGGATCACCTGGACACCCTTGGGGGCATCTAGGAAGGGACAAAAGAGAAGGAGAATAAAAGATCAAAAAGCCCAGAGGGATGAGTGGTGGGCTTCCATTCTATAGGGCAGGGGTAGGCAACCTCGGCTCTTTTATGACTGGTGGACTTCAACTCCCAGAATTCCTGAGCCAGCCATGGTGAGGGGAGAGGGAGAGGTTTCCAGGCTCAGCCATGCTGGCTCAGGAATTCTGGGAATTGAAGTCCACGAATCATAAAGCGGCCTAGGCCAGAGGTAGGCAACCTTGGCTCTTTTATGACTGGTGGACTTCAACTCCCAGAATTCCTGAGCCAGCCACGCTGAGGGGAAAGGGAGAGGTTTCCAAGCTGAGCCAGGCTGGCTCAGGAATTCTGGGAGTTGAAGTCCGCAAGTCATGAAGGAGCCACAGTTCCCCCCATGCTGGCTCAGGAATTATGGGAGTTGAAGTCCACGAGTCATGAAGGGGCCACAGTTCCCCCCATGCTGGCTCAGGAATTCTGGGAGTTGAAGTCCACGAGTCATAAAGTGGCCTAGGCCT